AAATGGGGCAGAATAGAAAAACAGTAGCTTAAGCTGTCTTCTGTATATCAGCTGTCTTGTGGTCATGCCGTGATTAATCCGTAATCGGTCCTTGAAACAGGCTTGCTGCTGCTCCAGATATATAGAGCCTCTCTCTTGGAGTAGAAATCATTCCTAAAAATACAGCCCAGAAAATTCAGCCTTGTTTCGCTTCAAGATTGTTACAGCTTTTTCAGAAAAATGAGTGTTGGCCACTACTGTCAGCTCTGAATTTAGGGTCCTTGGAGGGGAAAGTGCCAGAGAATTATCCATCTTAACCTTCCACTTTGATTCAGTTTCAAGGTCCGATCATTATGAGCTCTTTGTCTGGTAAGTGAAAATGTAACCAAAGGAAAAGTGAACCTAACCATCCTGAAGTGGGTCAAGACTTTTCTTCAAAAAAAAATATTTCCTAATCCACTCCATTAATACTCGGTGTTTTGTGGCAGTCGGCAGGACTCCTTGGCAATTTTTTTATTTTTTCACACCATCTAGTGGTTGAAAATGAGAGATGCAGGTACTGACAGGAGGCGATGTGTATGGATCCAAAATGGTGTCATAAATTCAGCTTCAGCTTGAACCTGGCTATGGCTTTATTGCCTTTCTATCATATGTCAGCCACGTATGAACATCACTCTTGAAAAGCACATTTTGCTGATAAGGAAGTAAGTACGGGTATAGCAGAAGTGTAGTAGGAAGGGTGAAGCACTAACAAAATGTCGAGCATATTTGTGCAACATGTAATAGTTCTTTGTTTTACAATGAAATATAAACGGCATAGCTTGCTCTGACGGACGCGATAAGATAGATATTTGTCTCTCCCAGTAACAGTTACGCCAAAGCGATAAACTTTTACCTGCTTTTCACGTACCCTTATAGAAATCAGGGGGAAACTGACTATTTTGTTTCCAAGCAATGAGATCATTAGTACAACAGAAGCAATTATAAACCAGGTTAGCAAATTTGGGTATTGATATAATTTAAATTAAGCAAGAGGAGTAGTGTGTTACGTGTAAGTTTCTAGGTGGATGCCTTTTAGAAGAATGAGCAAGATTTCAGTTTGGCAACGTTTACTTCCTAAAATAGCTAAGCATTAAGCAAAGACAAATCCCCTGTAATTTGCTTTAAACTGAGCACCAAAATTCAGTGTTAGCACAGTGAGAATGATTTGCATGCTTAAACTCTGATAATACAAATGCTGATGCCCGACTAGTGTAGTTACCGTAGAAAAGCACGTTTTCCTTGTTTTAAAGGTGCATTCAAAAACTATTTTAGCTATTATGTAAATATTTATGGCTGTTGTGGCTTTTGTGTGGCAGCAGTCCTATGGGCTCTTACAAAAAAACCCCTCAAACTATTTTCTAGGTTTTTCTACCTTCGAGAGTTCCCTTCAAAAGTTGAGTTTTTAATCTGAGCAGAATTAACAGAACTGTTGCAATAGTGCTTGTTAACTTTTCTTTATTTTAAAGAAAATGTAACTTTTTCAGATTATTTGATCAATGTATTTGTACAGATAAACTCATACTATTATCATTGTAATTTTTAATATTCCTGAATATTCAAGTGGCTTTGTAACTTACACCATGAATCGTGAACTTTCAGAAAACTACATACCTCTCTCCTACTATTTATAGCTCTACTGATAGAGGGACTCATTTATAAGATTTCTTAGTTAATATTGACTATTAGAAATGCAATACTTGGGCGTCCTGTTTTCTGAAAGGATGATTGCTCTTAACTCCTGCTCATTTATGGGCTTGCCTTTGCTTTCAAGCCCGTATGATAAATGGGAAAACAAACCATAACATAACAATCCTTTTTATAAATCTTCCATAGCTTTTACTCAAGAAATCGATTTCCAGAAACAAAGACAAGTGTGAGTGGAGGTAGACCGATTTTTTTTTTTTTTTTTTTTTTTTTTTAAGTTTGGTATGCACGGTTTGTGCAAGTGCTACCTTGCAGTATTTGTTTGTTTGCTTTAGGTGCATGTTTTGTGCAGGGAAATTCCATAGTTTTGTCAGCCAAATGCAAGTAGTAATGGAAATTTACTTATATATTAGCAAGCACCTGCTTAGTAGAATTACTGATGTTTCTTAACTTTTAAACTAATTTAATTTCCATCTCATTTATATTTGCATTAAAATAACAAATAATACTTGAAAGTCAGAAATTATATCTCAGACTGGAATTCTCCTTCCCTGTTTTTATTTCAGGACATGCCAACACAATATAATGCTGCTCCCTCTGGTATTTATGATTCATGGAAATCTCTTCTATGACTTAACCCTTTGCTCTAGAATTTTCCATGAAAGTAGAGTGTTAACTTGGTATCTAGATTACCATTTATTCAATGGTTGTGCATTTCCAGTGTGGCAGATTTTTCTTCTTTCAATACAACAAATGGCTGTTAAAATGATCACATCTCAACTTACATTTTTTGCTTAGTGAAAAGACAAAGAAATCTGCATTTTTGTACGTTACCTCTATAATCTTCATGAAATGTATTTATTCGGTATTTTTTTCAAAAATATGTGAAAGGCATACTAAAATCCTCAGTGTTTTTTTAATCAAGCTATTTTCTGACTGATCATACCGAGATCCATATTTAGCAGTAATTTCTCTTTCTATGACCGTACTGTCTGTGTCCACCTTAGCAAATAGGGAGTACCAATAGGAGCAGATGTGCTGAGGCCCCGGTGTCTACATGGTACATTTTCAAAGGGTTTTGATGTCCGAAGAGGTCTCACCTGGTTTTGTGGAATGAGAAAACATTAGTGGTTGGAGCACATGCAAGTGCATCTTTCATTTTAGTTTCAAAAGAAATGTAGCGTGTGTGCTCTGAGCCTGACGGCTCTCCAAATCGAGCCAAGGTGGGAAAGTTGGAGCACTGGGAGATTCACTTCAGTGGGATGCTTCTCAATCAAAACTAAAATGCAATACTAAATTGTACATTTCCTTCTTTTGACTTGTTTAGATATATTCCTCACAGAAAAAAAAAAAAAATACATGGCTAAACATAAGATAAGAGTGAAGGCCTTTAAATGGAGGGTTAGTTAAGATAGACTGATGCAAAGTGACTCTAGCTCTGTTGGTTTGCATACTGATAATGTGTAAGCGTTTAGCTACCTGATTAGAAAAAAAAATGGCATTATGTCATCTAATGGAAAATAAAATGGCCCTTCTGTCATTGCATGGTATTTTCAGGGGCCAGTTTTGATTCAGAATTCAGTCTTGCTTATCCTGATTTATATTGGAAGTCTTTAATTGGTGTCTATTTTGTCTCATGTCATTGCAGGAAATAAAACCTAATAATGCAACCATACAATAAATCTGAGGCTTATATTCTTGAAGATGACCATTTTATTGCTGTCTTAAAACAACTCTGCTACCTGTGAAGAAGTCTTATTCAGTTATCTAAAACATTTGTCATTTTCTGCTTTTTAGAGAAAACGCTAGTCTGTGCCAAAAATACTCCCCGGTTGATAGTGTATCATTCAGCAATTACACCAAAGGAAGTTCTAAAATTTTTTAGCTGGTCTAAATCTCCTGGATGAATTAGAGGTGTTTTAAAATATTATCTTGCCAAAATTGCCCCCAGGATATTATTCAGAAAAAATGTCTCCCTGCTTCCTGTACCTCTTTAGCTTGATGGGAGAGGTTCCTTATTTTAACCCCAAACAGGGCTATGGGTAAGTTTTGCTTTTCAGTTTTAAGTTTGCAGATCTTCAGCCTGTGAGTTAATATTATCGTGCCACTGGAAGAGAGCAGGTGAAAAATCTTGAATTCACACACTTCAGTTGTGTTTTTTTTTAAATACAACTCCATTGTTTTCTTCAAGGCATTGAAACACAATGATGATTTTCAGCAACTCTTTTTTGAAAAAAAAAAGAACCAAAATAAAAAAACCCACCCCACAAACACAAAAACCATACCATATGTATTGAACAATGGGGACTAATTGCACAAGGACCATATGTTCTCAACTTTTGCTGAAGTCAGTAGAAGTTAATATAGTGGTGCAAAGCATCTGGAGGTCCTCATTTACACAGAGGGTCTGTTCTAAAGGTAGAGACTGTTTTAGAAATCCTCTTGGATTTAAAAATTTTCCCTTCTTGCATATCAAAATTCTTTTCTATATTGTACAAAAGTCTTGGCTTCAACAGCTATCTGTAAAAAAAAACAGGCAGTGTATTTCTACTTACGGTGTTTTCCCCAAGTGCAAAAACTTTTATTACTAGTGTCTCATGGAGCCATAGGTGTGCACACATCACTGCAGTGAAATCGGTGGGATGGGGACAAGGAGAAGCATCTGCTCACAGCGTGTTCAACTGAGAGCATTTAAGGAGCCTGTAAACCTGATGGAATATTTTTTTTCTATTTATTTTTGCCTCACTATCGTAGCGTGCTGTATGGAGAGTGTTTTGCCAGCACGTTAAGTGTTAAGTCATAACCTGTTCCTTGCTGCCCTGTGAAATTACTTCACTTTGGTTAATGTATTTCTGCTGGGGGGGAAAAAGAAACCGACAACACTCCGTGACCGACAGTAGAAATATATAAGTAGCTTAGCAAGCGTGTGGTCATTTAAGGTTGTCATTTCATATTATTTGGCATAATATATTCCACTGCCCCAGTGCTCGTCTTCCAGGGGCTGCGGTGGCCCCTTCCTCCCCCTGCCCCGGGCTGGCATCACCTGGTGTGGTGAATGTGCTCCCAGGCACATGGCAGAGCCGTGGCCGTGCACTTGTGCATTCTCCTCGTCGCAGGGCAGCTGGATCTGGCCCTGCCTCCCCCTCTCCTATCCCTCTCTTTGCCTTGGAGCAATTCATTTTGCAGTTATTGAATTTCTTTGGAGAGTTATTTTCATACAGCGAGCATCGCAGCACCTCTGGATCTTGATAGCATTTCTACATAAGGAGAAAGAAGCTTTGTGTTAGTAATTACCTAACATTGTCAGGAGCTGACTGCAGGCCTCTTTCTAGTGATAACAGAATAACCACATAATGTAGCTTTATAGCGCATGATTAATAGAAAATAATTACACATCCTACAAAGGGATGCAATATTTCTTATAAATTGACTACAATGGTTTCCTGTAGATTAAAGGACTCTTCATTATTTTATCAGTCCTTCTGAAGTATAGTCGCTTGCCTATGTTAGTGGCGATGTTAAGAGCTGAATGCAGTGAGGGATACCAGATGGTAAACCCAGTGGTACCTGAGATCTGAAGCTGCTGCTTGCGAAAGCACCGTGCTTCCCAACTCTTAAGAATTCATATGTAACTCCTAACTGTATTCATATCTTTCTGCGTTATTAATCATTGTTTCCCACAAATGTGGGCTTTAGACTTTTATTCTTTCACATCTTAAGCAGCAGTAATAGACATATGGACCTCACAATGGCAATGTATTAATTAAGTTATATTGCTATGAAGGAGTTTATAATTGATAACGTTGATAGAAATAATACATCTATTCAGATTTTACATGTGACTTCAAGAAAAGACTTGGCGGGGGGACACCACTTGTCTGCCTGACTAGTCAGCACTCTTTTGTGGTACTGAGGACAGAAAGGAGTGGTTAGGAGTTTAAAGAAAAATGTCTGTACTTCAATCAGTTTAAAAGAGAGTGCTAAGTAATTATTCTAAAACCTGAGAGTAAAGTTTTATATTCTTGGTAGCCCGATATCTGCATTATGTTTTTGTTCGGACTTCTGTAGACTTTGTATGGTTTAATTGGGATTCATGGTGCTCTTGAGACCCATGCAAAGAATAGTAATGTAAAGTAAAAGCTTCTGTGTTGCGATATTGTCTGTACGGTATAATGGTTGCAGTGAATCCTTAAATTAGTTTACTAGTCTGTTACATCAACATTCATTTCATCTTCTCACTTAGCCTCATGCCAGAGCAGTAAGTGGTGTATTAGTAAGCAGCAAAACCCAGAAGTTTTCAAAACAGCAGCATGCTTTTCATTTTAATTTGAGGTATCTGAGTTGTTTCTTTAAAAACAATTATTTCTAAGTTCATGTAGTGTTGCTAAGTGGAACATTTTCAATGGATAATGTGGTCCACAGGCTTTTTCTGTGCCATTTGTCATATGCAATTTAATGACCGCTTAAGTAAGCGACTTCCCTCATTTCATGTATTGTTTGTTTTTTTGGCTGATGTCTAGCAAAACTTGCTTAATCACTCTTGTCAGTCACTTCATGAGTTCCATGTAACAGCTTAAAATCTTTTGTTGCTTTCTGTTGGAGAGATTTATTGCTGAGATTCCAGGAGTATACGTGAGTACTGCTCCTTTCAGCAATTTCCCAGTTCAGTCTAGAAATCCAGTTTGTATATTTAACCAGTGGATTGTGAGATAAAACATAGGATTTTTTTAAACAGGCTGATCTGCAACATTATAAACCTCAGCTCCACGGTTTTATTTAGTGTTTAAGGATTTGGGGTGTAACGTGCCCCCATGGGAAGGGTTATGAGCGGTTCTTAACTTCTGTGGAGAGCAGTTTGCACTGGGAATCAGATTCAGATACCCCTCTAGACTTTCACCCAAGACCCGTCTCAGCAGTCTATTCTACAGTAGAAGGTGGAAGAAGGTAGAATTATTTTTGCAGCTAGTTTGTATGTTCATGTCGTAAATGAAGGTTTTCCTGCTGCTTTTTATGTGGATTTTCTTTAAAGCACTCTTACTGCAGTGTTTTATGGATGGTAGGATAGAATCTTTTAAATCACCAGTTCACTGTGAAGAGCAGGAAGAGAATGTTTAATTCAAGGCTAGTGTTCAGCCTTGCACGATACGAAAATAAAAAAGCGTGTGTGTGCCTGCATGCAAGCCTCTTTAAATTTAAAAAAAAAAAAAAGAAAAAAAAATGGCCAAAAAAAGAAAGTCTAGGCCCACATGAAGGTGGACCATCAACAGGGTTTCACCGTAGTTAAGCACAGGGAGAGCTTGACTACACCGAGCACCTCACAGAACCCTTGACCAGGCCAAATATGCCAGCAGCAAATCATTATAGCTCGGGCTCTAATGAAACTCCATTAACCCTTAAGCTCCACTTGACTATTTATAACTGAAAAAATTTACAGTCAAAATAATAGCTTAAAGTGTCATCTCAGTAGGACCATTAATTCAAAATCCTACAGCCTTTGCTTTCCTCATCAGAAGAGCAGTGTAGGAGGAAGCAGATGTTGCTTATCAGAGATATCTGTGTATTTTGTATTTTCTGTGTTTGTTCCAAAGTAATTTCTATCTTACTAATCATTCCATTTTGAATGGGGTCTCTGTTTTAATAATGCTTCATTTGTAACTCAATATACGTGTGCGTGCAATTTCAGCTGTTACAATTTATTGAACCGCTGTTAGGATTGATCTTAAAATATTTACCTCATAGGAAAAGAATTAAATTTGGATCCCACAATACTCTTACTTGGTATTGCTTTTGGAAGATATTATTTCTTTAAACTATTATAATTCATTTTGTTTCATATTTATCTCACTAAGCCTAAACAAATTTCAAACAAAAGTACATTAGTCATCTGTCAGACATATGAGGTCTGCCGCAGAATTTTCTGCAAGCCTAAAGCAATAGTAGACTTTGTCTGTAGGAGGAGATTATGTATTAGATATATAGTGTTCCCTTCACATTTGAGCGAAGTAGTATTTAAAATAAGTCGACTGTAAGTTTCTTAGAGTTTAGCCTTGTAATACTGAAAGAATCCCAGTTGATTCTTATATGTCAACGTTGTGCTATTAGATTTTAGTTACAAAGATAAGATTTTTATATTTGTGATGAATAGAGAATGGAGAGGTCATCTGTTTTTAGTAGGTGTTACAGAGAAGCGTGGCTGTAATTAAGAAATTTTCCTGAGTGTGCCTAGCCTTTTGAAAATTTAACTGCTGTCTTTGCCTAGCTCTGCATGTGAATGCCTCTAACAAAAAGATAGAATGTTTTAATTTTCAGTTGAAATGATTATGACTGTATATAAGAGAAAGTATCCATAAGGAGTTGCATACAAAACTCTATTGCATTTATATCAGACTAAAGGTTAATATTGCGTATTGTTTTCAATTAGGAGTACAATAGATTTGGCTGGTGGGTAGGAGAAATGAAGGGAACCATTGGCTTGGTGCCTAAAGCCTACATAATGGAGATGTATGATATTTGAGAGGCCTGGGTAAGTACATTTTAATCCAATCTTCTGTAATGGCTTATATGTTCCCTTGTTCTCTGTTTCATAAGTATTTCTTTCCTGGAACCTTTGTAGGAGTCCTGTTAACATAAAGATTATGGCAAAATATATTGAAGGTTCAATTAAAGGACTTTTTCTGGGATTCTGTATGAAGGATTGAACCACAGTGCACAAAAGATGATGTATTTTATAACTATGTTCCTTTTCCAGATTTTTTTTTCGTTTTTTTTTTTTTGTAAAATAAAATTGGTGTACTTTCTAGTTAGTTCTATTACTTTAGTAATATGTATGTGTCTGTGCAGAAAACTGTGGAGGGGGATAGATATTTGGACTGGGTTTGATAGATGTGTTTGAAGTTTTTTGGTTAATGATGTGCTTTCAACTTCCCTCTCCCTAATCAGGAGAAATCTGCACTTGAAATCAGGAGTGGTGTGCAGCTGCAGTTTACAGACTCGGCCTCTGAAAGAAGATTCTGCCTTACACATTTTGTATTTTCAGTGAATGTAGTCAGATCGTTGCCTTGTGTATATTAAACATTAAAAACAGTAATTGATCGTAATTGTGTGGAAATGTTCTTCTTAGCCACTTTTTATAGAATTGTAATGCTAGGAAATGAATGAAGTAGATAGTAATTAACATATGGAGCACAAGCAGCCAAATAGTGCCTGTTGCTCTTTTCTTAAGCATATTAGCACTCTGTGTAGCTATAGGTTTGTGTTCTTTCAGGGAGTTTGGCTGTGGTTTCCTCTTGCCCAGATTGAGAAAAATTAAGCTGAACTTCGAAAGTAGAATACTATTACTAAGTTCAAGCATGTATTAATATCTTAATGGTCATTGTACATTTTGTACAGTTTCCTAGGAAAATGAAGGGAAATTTATGGGTAATATTGCAAGTATTCAGGGTATTCTGCTTCCAAATGTTTTTGTATTATGTTTTAGCCAACGATTTATTTTTCTCATATATTTAGTATTGTATTGTTAATTAAAATTTTGTTACCACAAAATGAAGGCTGGATTCTTTTGCTGATATAATAAATCAGCCTGTGTGGTAATACTACTCTGATACCATTCTGACTTGGAGATATGCATTATGTGAAAATTTGTAAAAAGATAATATATTAAAAAAAATATTTTTGCTTAGTCAACATGAGCCAGATGGCACGTAAGAAAGGTTTTTATCTGTGTTTCTGTAAAATATTTTATCTGTACCTTACAGATACTTTCACAGAGTCAAATCTGGATACCTTGTTGATATGTGGAATTTCTGATACACGTTGTGCGATAGACATCTTCAGCTCTATGCAGGTTAATAATGGCTACCTGCAGTCTTAGTACTCTAAAATACTCTCACTTGTGGACGAGGGGTTGGGCAAGTCAGAGTTAATACTTTAAATGCTCTTGTTTTGGAGATGTGCTTTACTATTAGCATGCAAGATCAACTTTTTTGAATCTGCCTACTCACTTGATTTGTGAGACCCTTAATCTGCCAAAGGGGCAGGTCAAGCCGGTCTGCAAATTGCTGAGCCTGTGCAGGTCCCCTTGTAGTTGCTTGTGCTGTTTGTGCTTCAGGCAGGCCCGGGAAACACTGTGAGTTAGAAGGTAACCTTGGTCTGAACTCAGAATTGGATCCTTTCAGTAAGCTAAAATGTTGTGCTTTATTTTGGAATCCTAGAATGGTTTGGGTTGGAAGGGATCTTAAAGGTCATCTAGTTCCAACCTCCCTGCCATGGGCAGGGACACCTTCTGCTGGAAGGTTGCTTAAAGCCTCATCCAACCTGGCCTTGAACACTTCTAGGGATGGGGCATCCACAACTCGTCTGGGCAAGAGAAGAGAACTTCACTTCTCTTTTAGCTAATGCATGATACTTGATGATGCACTGGATTCTAGTAAGACTCAAACAGGGTACAGAGTTTCGTTGTAATTTTTTAGAAAAGAGATAGTCATTGAAATTGATTCTGTACGTTATCGGTGAAGCATTAAAATGATAGATTGTAGTCTTCAGATCTTTTACTACTTTAATTTATCAAGTATACTAGTGGATTGTGTACAGAATGTGAAGCGTTAATATCACAGCTAGAAAAGCTCCTTCTCTCTTGTTAACGTGGCAGCGTAATAAATCTGCTCCACCAAAATGTCTTTTTGTTAGTTAGGTAATGCCGAATTCCACCACCACCTACTTTTTGGGGGGGAGGTAAATCCTCCCCCACCCTCCGTCATTGAGACGACACTTGATTTAGGACATGGGCCGTGCGGGGACGCCGCTGCCCAGCCGGGGGCGGCTGTGCCAGTGCCCGCAGGAAGGGATGGGAGCGGCGAAGGGCGGCGGCGGCGCGCAGGGCTGCGCTGCGCTGCGCTGGGCCGGGCTGCGCTGATTTGCGCTGCACTGCGCGCCCGCGGCGGTAGATGGCACCAAATTTTCATGGCACGGGAGGAGGCCGAGACCGTCCCCCCGTCCCCTTCCCCCTCCGTGCGCCTCCGGCCCCGGTGCCGCCGCTTCTGCCGTTTTTCCAGGAGAGGGAGTCCTTCCCCAAGCGATGGGCAGCGGGGCTGCCCTGCGCTGCCTCTCCGGGGTGGTGGCGACGAGAGAAATAAAGTGTCTTTTGTCTGTAGTTCTGCTTTAGGGCTTTTCCTCCCCCCTTAATACGTATGGGGGGCGTAAACAAGCTGCCCTTAAAGTTCAAAACGTGAAAGATGTCCTCAAACTCACTTGCAGCGTCTTGGAATAAGCCAGAAACGAACCACGGATGAGTCGTGTAAATCCGTGCAAATACCATAGCCTTTTTTGGACAAGAAAATCTCTGTTAATGCTACTTAAACAAAACTCAATGGCAGAAAATGATAATTGCTTTGTTTTCATTGTTTACTTAGGTTGCACCTGCCTTTCCTTGAACAGTAAAACTGCTATTTTTTAAAAGGTGATTGTAAGTCATATTTTCTACAGCGTTTTACTTGGTTATTTGCTCTGTTCTGGATTTGTACTATGCTGCCATTAGATCTTACAATAATGTTCTACTCTGCAAATTTTTAAGGTTCAAATAAAGTTTAATTGTTTGCAAACTGTTATGATGCTAATAATTCAACAGCCTGCTGTGTTACTAATGAAATTACTTTGTTATGATTAATTTGGAAAATAGTGTGTTGATTGTAGTAATTAAGCACAACAAGGTGAAGTAAATGATTCTAATGCCATCTGGCCTCCAGACTGAATGAAGAAATGAAATGGGGCTGTCATTTGAATTTATTCAGAGAAGTAAGGGTAATACAAATGGTTCTTATGGCAGAGGCACCCGGATATAATCATGCCACTCTCCAGTGTTTTTTCGTGTACTTCTCTATACAGACAACTGGTTCACATGTTTTTCTAGCTTCTAGTTAGGATACACCTCTTTATGCACACTGCCACTAATTACATGTACTGATGGGAGCGTATGCACTGATTCTTCCATCAGAGACAACTATGGATAAAATTTAGAGAAGTGATGTGCATCAACTTACCTTTTGCTCCTCTATTAATGAGAAAAACTTTTTTTTTGACTGGAATTAAGCTGAACTTGAATGCTAATTAAGATCTTATTCTATATTCAAAGTCAAGTGCATAGACTTTCTTCTTTTTGGCTCTGCAGTCTGAGTATGACACAGCATTAGAAGGAGCGTAAAGAATATCCCTTTAGAACCTGATCCAAAGACTGTTGAAACTGAGAAGCTATTGAATTCGGTTGCTTCTGGATCAGGCTCTCAGAACAGTAACTCAAAAACAGGCAATACAAGTTCAAAGGGCCTTTTGCTGAATACTCTTTGTCCTCTTTCTGAAAGAGATGCAATTATTTCCGTAAGCTGAACTAAAGAAAGGAAAGACACAGACTTCTCTGTAGCCAAAAGATAGAAATCCATTTTTCTATCTCAGGTAACACAAAATGAAATTGTGGCTGTAGATCAGAGTTGTGGCTTGAAGAAGTTCATTGGGATCTGTAGGAAAGCTGTAAAATATTAGAACACGGGATGGAAGTACCCAGGTGAATGACAATGACGTGCTCTTCAGCTGCATAAGCCATTTCATGCTTCTCTCATCTCTTTCTCTCAAGTTGATGAAAATTTTATTAGTATTTAACTGTGGGAAGAAGTGTATGCATGGAAACCTTATAAACAACTTTCCACTTTACATAGCACAATGTAGTGATAAACTGCAAGACCTTCACTTACCAGAGTCTCTGAAGCTGACATTTCTCAGACAAGTGTCTGCTTAATTCCATCTTTATTTAAAAAAACTGACACTGAGCTCAGTGGAGAGTGCTCTGCCCAAACTGCATCTCTGTTTTAGAGTTCTTTTCCTGCCCAGCACCCTGTGTCTCACTGTGAGGGGCCAGCACCAACCAACTTGAGACTGTGGACTTAAAATAAAATTGTGCTTCAAGCTGCATGTAAGCACAGTATTTCCTGATTCTGGGATAAAGTTGTGACTTGGCCGGTCAGGAATTTGCTACAGGAAAAAGTAAAGGGGTGCTGAGATGGTGATGGGATGTGCAGGTCAAAGGGATCTTGCTTTTCTTATCTAACTGTGTTGAGCCAAGGAATATATTTATATTTTCTCTTTAAATTATATGGCAAATCAGGCAGTGATAAGCCATGAATTGTTACATCATAGCCTTTTATGGATTTCTTTCGGAGTGATTTTGTAACAGGATCTAGACAATTCTGTTCTGCTGTCTGGAATTTTCCTTAGTCTAAACTACCACACAGAGAAATTCACAGGGAGCAGGGTTCAAAGCAAAGTAGAGGAAAAATCTCTGCACCTGAAAGCTATGCCACCATGAGTCTAATTTATAACTGGAAATGTCAGCTTCTTCCCAGCCTTTTGGGAGGAAGAAAGCTTTTAATTAGCAGGAAAAACTTAAAAATCCAAAGTGTCGTCTCGTAGCAATGTGTGGGAGAATCAAGTACAACAGTGCAGGCAGTCTGGGAAGAAGAGCTGCTGGTA